GGCCCTGGAACAGGCTGCCCAGGGAAGTGGTTGAGTCTCCATCCCTGGAGGTATTTAAAAGACGGGTAGACGTGGTGCTTGAGGACATGGTTTAGTGGTGGACTTGGTAGTGCTGGGTTAATGGTTGGACTTGATGATCTTAAGGGTCTTTTCCAACCTTAACGATTCTATGATTCTTTGAAATCAACTTCCAGCTAAGGAGCTGGGAAGTACAGGTACAGAATTTGAGTATAATTGATTGTTTAAATCAAGGTGTCTTCCTTTCACATTTAAATTAGAATTGATTTTGTTTATTTTGGTATAAGTCAATCCACTTTAACTAAAGGTGTGAGCTTATTTTTCTGAATCCTGGAAGTCAGATTGGTAAATTCCTTGTTGCTCACGAGAAATGGATTGAGAAATGTCTTTGTAGATGTTCTCCCGCTGTAGCTCCGGGCATTGAGGAGGGAGTGCACGCATCAGATAAAACTTTAAACTAGAGCAGAATGGCTGAAAGCCAGTTAGTAGGATGGAGATGTATATTGATTTTTCGTCCTTCCTCCCCTCCCTCCCTCTGCAAATGCGGTCGGCTTCTGATCGCTGCTGGGATGTTCTTTCTTTTGCTGCTGCTTACAGCTGAAAGGGGGGTCCTTTGGAAATGTGTTTTAGTCTTATGGTAGTGGTTAAATAACATGTTAGTAGACTCCTGGCTGCCTGTGCAGGTTCAGGTGATGCTTCTCTAAAGTGTGCATGTGTGTGTCTATGTATGGATTATATGCATGCATCAGTAATCATGTATTCTGAAGTCCTAAAAATAATAATAATAATAATGATATTGTTGTTATGAGGTGGTCTTTAGAGAAACAATGAAAAACAGAAGGTTAATGATTGTCAGGGTTAAAACTGGTATTTTCTCCAGTCACGTTAAAAGTTGTTCTGTAGTTTGATAGAAACTATGGGCTTGTAGCATCAGCTTTTGGTTGAAATTCTCTGGCCTGTTTTTATATGAGGCTAGAATTGACCTTCAGGGTCCCTTTTGGCTATTAGTGTTAATACCTTTGTGGAAATGATCATGAAGTAATAGCTGTTAGAGCCTAACAGAGATCTTACAATAGGAGAATGAATTAAATGTTAACAATTATGAAAGTGACTTTAGATTTTGACCCTACATTTGAAGGCATTGCACAAATATAATAACATGTTGTCTCTGAGTAACATGGAGGAGTATAAAACATACTGAGGTGCCTGTATATTGCCTAGAATTAGAGATAGCCATAGAGCATACTGACAATATGTCATTTTATTCCTCTAAAATATGTTAACCAGGTTATGGTTAAAAGCATTTAAAATGTGTCACTCAGAGCTATTTGTAACTGTTTAAGTTCTGTGGGAGTCACTTTTACAGAAAACGTGGTTATATACTGTGAAAGATAGCTTTTGTATTTTCTTTATGCATCAGTCTTTTGTGCTATGTTTCAAAGCAAGTAGGAACAGACGGAGGTTTTCTTTTGATACCACGCAGCATTTAAAATTCTAGTATTGTGAAAAGTGTATGTATTATTGAAAGACTTTAGCATGGAGGTTTTTTGTTTTCAGTATAAAGTTGCATTAGGAGAATATTTTTTATCATGCTGTTAGAGATCAAAGTATTAGTATAGTAAATAATCCTCTTTGTCTAACATATCTAAATATATAGTGCTAGCTTGCATACTGTGCTCCTTAGTTCAGGAGAAACCAGGAATTGATTGTGGGCTGTCTGCCAGTAGGACAACAGTTCGTCTCTCCATGTGGGTAAAGCATCTTTTGCTGGCACAAAATGGGATTATACCATTGCCAGGAGTCAGTGCTGCCTTTGCCATTCTACCATTGCCAGGAGTCAGTGACAGCTCCTTGATTATTGCTTTTGTCTGTAACAATTTATCCTGCGTGTAGAATGTGTCCTTTCTTAAAAAAATCATTCAGTAATGATCCTAGGACTTTTACAGTATCTATACTTAATGTTTACTGCCAAGACAAGCAAATGTGATGTCTTTGCGTGCGTGTGTGTGTGTAATGTTGCCATATCTTTGTATCTATGATAGATATATGCACACACAAGCATCTAAACTGGCATGTTGAGAATGGAAGGTAAATTCTTCTCCAGCTGTCGTCATCCTTGCGTGGTTGATGTGTTTGTGCTAGCATCCTCAACAAAACATATTTAGAAGGGCAACCAACTAAGCGCAGATAACAGACCACTGAAAATACTTATATTAGTATATAGTTTCCTACAAGATGATGCTAATTCCATTTCAGTTGTTTTTCTTCTCAGATGTTCTGCAATAAATGCACAGAATCAGTAGAAATAATTTTATAGGGAAGAATTATGTAACATTTAGTGTAAATAAGAATATTTAATATGAAACAATGATTTTGTTTTAAGGTAACAGTCTGTTAATATTTTTATAGTACAGGATAACATAAAAGCATAAATAGACTTTAGAGTTCAAGCCAAGTTTGCCAATCTGCGTTGATATTAAATGCAAGACATTTTGTCTAGCCAAGATCACCCAGTGAGCCTTGTGTAGCTTTTAAAAAATATCTGTAGCTTTCAGAGTACTTTGAATGAACAAATGTTAAGAAAAGGCAGGTCGGTAAATCAATATGTATTTTAACTTTTCTCTGAAACAGTGTTGTTTAACTGCTGGTTTGAGATAACCATAAGGCTGAAGAGCTCAGTTGGCTGTCTCGTGAACTGTTCTTAATGAGCATTATGTTATTTTCCCCTCTCGTTTTTCTAGGCTGTTCAATTAACCCCTAGACGATGGCTGAACCTGCAGGAGTACCAAAGTAAAAAACTAATGGCAGACCATGGGGTTACAGTTCAGAGATTCTTTGTAGCTGATTCTGCAAATGATGCCCTGGAGGCTGCTCAGAGACTAAGTAAGTTGACTGATAATGGGAGGAATCTGCTTCACCAGATAGCAATTTGGAAAATAAATTGCTTTCTAATAAGTTGTACACAATCTTCAAATTGATGCTTATTGAAAAGGTTTGATATATTTTCCAGATGATAAATGTATGCTTAATTTGATATGTGAACAACAGTTTGTAACAGCAATATTTCTTTAGACTTTATTTCTAAAATGTTTTGTATGCAGCATGTAATATGAAGTCTTTAACATTATTTATGTAATTTTGAATAACTCAGAATTCAGAATAACATCATGAATGGTTGCTGAGGAAAATTATTTGTTGCTGTATACTTGATCTAATTTAAGGAACTGAAGTATCATAGAATCATAGAATACCAGGTTGGAAGGGACCTCAAGGACCATCTGGTCCAACCTTTTTAGCACAATCTAGGTGTCATTGTGAAAAATTTACCTCTCGTGTCCAATTGGAATCTCCCTGGGAGTAACTTGTACCCGTTACCCCTTGTCCTCACCATGTGACTCCTTGTAAAAAGGGAGTTTCCATCTTCTTTGTAGCTCCCCTTTAAGTACACAAGTTCATTTACTTTAAGTTAAGTTTACTTTAAGTAAATGAACTGTGTAAAAAGTTGTTTTCAAACAAAAATTTGCTCTATTAAAAAGCAAAGGAAGAAAAAAGTTGTGGACTCTCCGTTTTAAAAGATATTCAGAACCCAGTTGAACACAGTCTGCTTTAGCTGACCCTGCTTTGAGCTGGTGGGTTGAACTAGACGATCTCCAGAGGTCCTTGCAACCTCAACTGTTCTAGGATTCTATGAAGAAATAAAATATGTATGAGAGAATTATACACATGTATATTTGTTCACATGTATGTTTGTCCATGTGGAGAGAAAAGAAGAGGGGAGTTGAGTTACCTACAATCACAAAAGGACTTGACAGTGGCTGGGAGTGAAGACCATGCTTCTGGAACTTCATTTTGGTTCTCTGACAACATCTTCATTTTCGTGTGGTGAACTTAAGATGATAATGTGGGTCAGACATGAATTTATGTAATACCCTTTCTCTCAAAAGAAAATGCGTTCAGGCAGGTTTGTCGCCCGATTCTAACTCTGAAAGAAGTTTTCTAATTTTTAAAGTTAATAGTAGTTTGCATAGTTTTTTCATTTAGTTTTTGTTAATTTATCATACGTCAAAATGCTAGAGGACAGACATTATTGTAGTCTACTTGTGTAGTAACAGGAAGGTTTTTTGTTTTATGTTTTACATAATGCACAAGCCAGTTAACTGTGTTTCAGTTTTGCACACTGGAAAGTAAATTAACACGACTTACGCATATCAAAGATTTCATCAGACCTCAAGTAGTTGAATAGGATTAGCATAACGGCTTGCTAAATCTCTATAACTTTATTAAGGTGATAAATTTTTCAGTAATCAAAACCTTCTTATGACAACCAGTATATTTGACAATATATTTGAAACAAAAACATTAAATGCAACTGTTATGGTCATTTGTCAGTGCAAAATGAAAAATGCTGACACAAAGCAAAGCTCATGAAATTGGAGGGTTTCCTCATATCTGGATGTCTGAGAAAATCAAGAAATGCTAACTGAAGCTGTGGCAGCTTTTCACAGATCTTACAGCAGTTAAACTCTCCTCTTCATGATTGAACTCATAAATGGATTGGTCTATCCAATAACTATTACTAGTCTTGATCTTTATAACTATTTGGAGAAATAAATTACTCCATTAAAGGCAGTGAACCTTTTCTGTTTTATGATGCCAGATTTACTTTAAATACCCTCTGTAGCTTGCTTGCTTTGCAAATCACAGAAATATTGGTCTATAAAAACAACTGAACTGTTGGAATTTAAATAATCAAAAGTAAAATCTAAAACCAAAAATTAATTGCTAATCAAACTTTATCAGGTAAATTGTATGTATTTTAACTGGCTTGGCTTGTTAACACTTCAAAAATTATAGGTCAGTGGTACCTTTCTTCATTTTATGTAATTGCATTCAGCCATGCTGCATTACTGGGCATTAAAGAATTGTGGTTTATAGTGTGGAAGCTATTTCATGTTGAAGTGATTGACACTCCATTGATCCACTAGATAATTAACAACATCCTCGTAATCGTTCTGCTAGTGTGCTGTCATTGTACTTCTGACACGGACTTTGAAAACTAAGCATCAAGAAGACAAGTTTTGCTACTATGATCATTGTTGTTCCAGGATTTCATCAGATTTATCTTCTTTATGATCCTTTGGACTAGTAGTATCTATGTCACTCAGGTTTATCTGCAAAATTTGATATGGGCTGCCATCTTCTGAATATGCAGACACACAAAGTAAAAAGTTATGGGCGAAACAAAAAACTTCAGCCTACAGGAGGCACAAAATATTCCAAAATAAAATAACCAGTGGAGGCAGCTTTGGGATCTTCTTGATAGATAGGCGTTCTGCAGTAAGAGACGGTGAAAGGAGAGGCTGATCATCCCTGCCAAGTCCTGCTCAAAAATCTGGTGTTTTAGGTACTGTATGCCACATTGCAGCTGTCCTTAACTTTGGCTTCTGCAAGCAAGAAAGGATGCTTGCCAATGTATTTTTAAGATAAAAACAGCCTAAAGTTATCAAACTTGAAAGTCAAAGGTTCAATATTTTTCTTGTGAAAGGAGGTTCTTTTTATAGACCTGTCATCACAAATACAGGAGAAAATTATTTTCCTTTATAATCTTATAGCATTACATCACTCACACGGGTCTGTGTGTGTGATAAAGGCGTACAGATAAAGGGACAGAAATTCCTGACATGGAAGTCTTTACAAAGTGTGGTATTCAGAAATTAATTTCACAATTTCTCGAAGTACTAGAGGCTCAGCAGAGCTGTCTGTACTGCTGCAGTGCCTATGGTCACCAGTTGGGCTATTGTTGGATCTCCTGTTGATGCAATGGAAAGAGATAGAATTAGATCATTTTTGCTGCTGTCTTCACTTGTCAGGAAGGTGTTAATGCATGTGTTCTTGAAAGGGTTTGCCTTTATCCAGTATCAGTGGTTTTGTTATAGTTTGCTCATTTCCTCTGTTGCTCTCTCAATTTTTATTAATACGTACACTGAATACACTGAATATTAATTTTCTCAGAAAGATTTTCAAAACTTACCAACAGCACAAAAGGCAGTCTACAAGGAATTTTTAATGGAATTAAAGGATTGCGTTTTTTTCTTCTAAGATAAGAAAGGGCAGATGTGAAGAAAATTAAAATGACATCACTAATATTGACTTCAAAAGAAGTTGTACACAATAAGGAATACAGAATTAGGCCCCGAGGAATTCATTGCCTTTTACGTGCTAAGCAATTTTTAGGTGTAACCCTTGTAGAGAAGGTGATATTTACAGAATACCAAGATAGGCAGTCACAAATGGTTTTGTGTTTCATGTTAAAATTCCTAGGTTTTCAAGAGAGGAAAGAAAAAGAGGTGCTGTTTTGCTACAACAGTATGGCATTGCTTGATCTGCCATCCAAAGAAACACAGCTTGTAAACAAGTTCTTACACTTCTAGTGCAGCTGTTTAACAGAACAAAGTGAAATTTGGGAGCTGAGTTTTTGTCTGAAATGTAAGATCATCTGGTTGTTCCTGCATTAACTCTCAAGTCTTCTGATCTGATTCTCACTCAATGCAGTGGTACATTAAGGGCTTGTTTAGCCAGAGAAGGCATTTCCTTTCTTGCTATTTCTTTTCCTCATACTGTAGTACCAATATAAGGAAAAAAATCCTTATATATGCATATATATACCCAGACTATTAGGGTGTGCGCATTTTCATTGCTTCTGTTGGGCAGATGCACTGTGCATCGTTTCAGGGTCCATCATTTTCTTTAGCCTTTCCCACCGGAGGCCCTTAAGTCTGCTTCAGCTCGTGCACTGTTCTTCACGTTCTGCCTGATGGAGAAGTTAAGGGAATGATCATTTTAAATTAGTAGGTGGACAAAGCTGAGAGGGATTATAATTATGCTGGAGGGTGTTACGATGTACTGTCAGTTGGCTCTTTGAATCAGTAGAGAACATAGAGGTGGTTGAAAATGCTGACAATCCTAAATGGATGCTGGAAGCTTGGCATGCATTTCTTTTTCTGATTTTTAACAAAAGCGATAGAGTGCTGTCCGTTGCCACTTCCAAGTGTTTCATTACATTTAGGAATCAGTCGGGTGCGGTGTTCAAGCTCTATCACAGAGAAATGCAATTGAATTGAGTGCAAGACTTTATTCACCCTTCTTTAAAAAATATGTAACAAAATATAGTCTCTGCATATCCTATTTCTATTGCTTTATGCATGAGGGAACTCATAAAATTCAGCTTTGGACTAAAGGCATGCGTTTTATATCAGGCTGGAGAGGTAAACATGTATTTTATAAAGAACAGAAGAGGTTTATTGAAGCTTCTTTCCATGAGGTCATTTACCTGTCACCTATTATTCACCATTTTTTAGAATGTTGAAAGCGTTCTCAGTCATGTGATCACCAGTCTCCGTCCTATCTAAGCCTGCTGGCTTTTTTCCCTTGGCTATGTTTAATTTAGATGGAAGGCTGCATTTTTAGACGCTGTTTTAGATTCCTTATCTGAAAGTTCATCTCTCCAATGCAAGTTGGGAAAACCACTTGAAAGCAACATATGTTTAGAAGGAATCAAAAATCTTATTTTTTGGCTTGGTAATGTCCTTTTTTGTATAGATTATGAACAAATTGTTGGTGATAGTGCTGTCTCCATTTAATCTAAGCTTTTATGGTAGGAAAAATGAAAAAGATCCTTGAACCTGACTTTTCTGAGGATATTAGAAATGTCAATTTAGGTTCTTTTTTGTTACACCAGTAAGAGCTTTTCTATGAGTATCCTGTACAGACCATCTCTCTGTTGTTAAAGTTATCTTTAAGTAACTTAATTTACTTCCCAATCTTTGAGTTTGTTGGCTGCTTAGCTGATCTTTTTTTACTGTCATCATGTGCTTTGCTTACAG